GAGATGTCTAATGTATGCATTACAGTTACTTCTTTCCAGTGACTGCATAAGAAACCAAAGTATGGAAGCCCTAAATAATAAAGGACCAGAAGGATCCAACTTCATATGCAGTCATATGTGGTAATGTGAGAAGATATGGCCCAAAGGATTTAGGAAAGCTTAGAAAACAACATTAAGAATGAATATGTTCAAGAGTGAAATTCCAGCTCTTGTCTACACCTAAGTGTAGGTAAAATAAGGTACATGAGTAACCTCTGCATTTCTCCAGTCCCATTTTGCTGTTGGAGGCCTGTCTGATCCTGTTACAAACTCAAGAAGTAGGGCTGGCCCCAATTGGACAAAACTGGTTTCCACCTAGGAGTGTCAGCACATTAAAATCAGAGCTTTACTCTGAGAAGATTCTACTGTCAGTGAAACCAGAGTTGTTCATAGGCATAAGATACAGCTTAGAGCAAAACGCCAAGATCATCACAGGACTTCCTGCCCTTAGGGAAGACACATGCTCCTATTCTACTCAGACCTTGGCAGCATGGCTTGGTGCCCAAACCACTGGCTTACAGGATACTCTTGTGGAGCCCCTACACTCTTGATAAATCACTGCACATTCACTGGAATAGGAACATTTTCTACAAGGCACTAGTTGGCAGCCGGTCACTAGTGGTGTCCACCAGGGATCAGTGTTGGGCCCGGTTCTGTTTAATATCTTTATTGATGATTTAGATGAAGGGATTGAGTCCACCATTAGCAAATTTGCAGATGACACTAAGCTGGGGGGGAGTGTCGATCAGCTGGAAGGTAGGAGGACTCTGCAGAGGGACCTGGACAGACTGGAGAGTTGGGCTGATTCCAACGGGATGAGGTTCAACAAGACCGAGTGCCGGGTCCTGCACTTTGGCCACAACAACCCCCTGCAGCGCTACAGCCTGGGGACAGAGTGGCTGGAGAGCAGCCAGGCAGAAAAGGACCTGGGAGTTTGGATTGACAGGAAGCTGAACATGAGCCAGCAGTGTGCCCAGGTGGCCAAGAAGGCCAAGGGCATCCTGGCCTGGATCAGGAACAGTGTGGCCAGCAGGACGAGGGAAGTGATTCTTCCCCTGTACTTAGCACTGGTGAGGCCACACCTGGAGTACTGTGTCCAGTTCTGGGCCCCTCAGTTCAGGAAGGATATTGAGGTGCTGGAGCAGGTCCAGAGAAGAACAACGAGGCTGGTGAAGGGACTTGAGCACAAGTCCTATGAGGAGAGACTGAGGGAGCTGGGGTTGTTCAGCCTGGAGAAGGGGAGGCTCAGGGGAGACCTCATCACTTTCTACAACTCCCTGAAAGGAGGCTGTAGCCAGGTGGGGGTTGGTCTCTTCTCCCAGACAGCTATCAGTAAGACAAGAGGGCATGGTCTTAGGCTCTGCCAGGGGAGGTTTAGGTTGGATATCAGGAAGAAATTCTTCACAGACAGGGTAATCAGTCATTATTGGAATGGGCTGCCCAGGGAAGTGGTGGATTCACTGTCCCTGGAGGTTTTTAAGATGAGACTGGATGTGGCACTTAGTGCCATGGTCTAGTGACCACAGTGGTGTTGGATCAAGGGTTGGACTTGATGATCTCAGAGGTCTTTTCCAACCCAGCTGATTTTATGATTCTATGATTAACAGCTTCTCTCCAAGGAAGGATAAGAGCTAAAGGAGATATGTGAAGGATGAAAGAGCTAAGAAAATCAAGCTGTCTATCCAGGCTTTTGCCAAGTCCCTCAGCAGCAAACAAGCCATCTTTTAGCCCTTAGCTGAAACTAGCTATGTTTTGCTATGCTTTAACAATTCCAAGACAGCTCCTGTCCCTTGATACAATATCAAAAAATTTGCACTCCAAAGAGCAATTGCTGTAATAATAACAATACTTACATTTCATTATTTAACCTCATGCTATTCATTCATGAGGATTAGTGCTTAATTAATTAACAACACTTAGCATTTCCACTCAGCACTTTACCTCTTCAAAGCATCATACCAACACTACCTAATTAAGGGCAGAGCTCCACAGACACTTCACATCAGGACTTCTCTTTGACAGCTCTGCATCCAAGAGTTGCCCACATCGTGTAGCATGAATTCAAGTTGAAAGCCCTACTAACTTCATCAGGAACCAGGTAATGCCCTAGTTATCAAGAGACTATCTTTGCAATTTCCTTTTCTTTTCCTATTGCTTCTGGTTGCTTACTATTCACCCAGGGATCTAATTATTGGCTAATGTGATGGATGATAATGTGAACCTTGTATTAGTGTTATCTATAAAACTCTCATTCTTCTGTTAGTGCAAACCTTATTCTCAGTCACCTGGTTGAACTGCCTTTGGATAGAAAATGTGTTAACCACAAAAACAGATTATAAAATGACAAGTGAGAGTTTTTAAGGGAGATGGTGCTTTCAATCCATCAGTCAAATGCCTGCTATGAAAGTGCCTTTCTTGTAAGCACCCCAGGATGCTACACAACATCAATAGACAATATAAACACGAAGCTTTTATGGTTCACTTTACAATTGGACATTGACTCTGAACCTGTGAAACAGAAAGGAATTGAATTTCATGACCAAAGAACATAATGTGCACAGGATTAAGTAGACAACACTGGTAGAAGCAGGAAAGCAGTACGGCATTGGATGCTGATAGGGAGATTAAATTTACAGATAAGAAACCAAAGGAATAAAACAATTCTGAGTAAAATCTTATAAGGCACTCAATACTTCATAACACTATTCCATATCCACTGGGTTTTTTCCAGAGAATCAAAAATGCTGATGGATTTGTTCAGTCACTGATTGACTGGGCCTTGATTATGAGAACTGAACAAAGAAAGCTCTAAATATGTGGTAGTTCCAGCCAAGGGAATTATACAGACAGTATAGAAGTAAACTTCTGATGCAGTCAAATGGGAAGAAAAAGAAAACATTCATCACAGTTCAAGAACTTGTTTAGTGTCTCAGAGGATGTCTTCACAGGGCAGTGGCTGGCAGAGCAGCAGCCTGGGGCTGCTGCTGATCAAACTTGCTCCAGAGGAAAGCAAGAAATCCAATACAGCAGTGTGCCTTCCAGCTCTGAGGGGTGTTGTGGTGTGTCACATGCACATCACAGCTTGCATCAGCTTGGTCAAATAGCTTTCTCAGGAAGCCCTTCTTGCCAGATGAGCCACAGCTTGATAGATACCAGAAATTTAAATGGTTTGGTTCTTTGAAAACTGATTGTCTTGAACAGAATCAGACCCAACCATTTTGACACTGAAGTATTCCACAAGGATAACTGTGTATTACTATCTACAGTGTCTTTGTGCCCAAAATAAGCTGTGTTAGTGTTACTGCTAAATTCTAAAATCCCAAGAGTTTAAAGTACAAAAACAGGCTTTATTATCACTTAATAGAATTTCATTTAAGCTGCAGATGGATGAGGCCCTTATTGCCATATTCATCCTTAAGCTGAGGGTCATATACTCATCCTAGATTTTTCTTGACATGTGTTTGGAATTCAATACCTGCCTTTCATCTTCCTCTACTCCCCACAATTCTTCTTCCCTCACTCAGCTTCAACTGAATACACTCCAGTATTCCCTTGCCACCAGTTACCACTGTCTAGGACTCCCTTGTCTCAGACAAATGGACTAGCCCCCAGTGAGCTAACCCCTAAGGTCTCCATCACTTGGTTACCCTGCAGCCCTTTCTACCATTTACCATGTAGGACCCATCCCAGATCCATTCCAGCCTGCCCTGCTTCTGCATTAGTTAAGGCTGGTTCTACTGGTGTATGTGGTTACATTAGGAAAAGCATGCATCTTTCTTATTACAAGTTTCCTAAAATGTAATGCTCAAATCAGAACCATCCACTGTGGTTCAGGAAAAGATACCTGTTAATTAGCACGCACATTGGATCAGACCATTAACAAATGCATTAGGAAGCTACTGTGGAAGCTGATTCAAGTTATTATGTAGGTAACTGTGCTTCTGTTTCCAGCACAAAGCTGTCACATGAGTCCTTCTCATCACTTTTGTATTTACATTTGCTGTGCATCTGTTCTAGCATCTCTAAGCTCTGATGTCTTGGAAGAACACACGCTGAGATACTTCCTGACTGGGATCAGCTTCTAGTACTGGAACTCTGCTGGGTGTGGCTAAAGATGTGAACCAAACACAGGCATAAGAACAAGTTGGTAAAGACAAAAACCTGGCATTTGGAAGGCAGTTCTCTACTTTGGTGATTGACCAAAATAAATTTAGATTACTTATATAATTAGGATTTTACCTTTCATTCTGCTGTTTTACTCTGCCTATACAATAAACCAAGTTGGTCTGTTTAGTCTGCCTCATGGGGTGTTGGGGTTTCCAAGTTTCACAGAACTGCAGAATTTCTGCTGTTCATAGTGCTCTCTCTGTAAGAGGTCACAGGGTAGTCAGAAACAGATCCACGGTGGTCATGAATGTAAGTTCCAGCATGTATTTCCTCCCAGCTTCCAGTGTTTAATGTCACTGGGACAATTTATACTTTTTGGCTATCACAGCATCCTACAGCAGTGAATTTCACAAGTGATATTGATTGCACTAAATCATACATGTGCTTTCCCTGTTACTTCATCAGAAGAAAGTGTTCCTGCTGCTGCACCACCACTGTGCATAGTATAAGCCTTGCAATTTAGCCTGCACAGGGAGTGCTGCATGAATTGTTTGATGACTGGGAGTACAAGACATCCTAATCTGCTTGCCTAGTGAAACTGCTCAGCACTAGGGTTAATAATGAAATACAGACCAGCTGAAGCAACCTTTACAGAGCTTGGTATGCTCCAGGGCAAATATGATTGAGAGTGACACTAGCTATATGTTTTACTAATTTTATCACTACGCCTATTCTAAGCACAGCCTTTCAATTAATTGATTCTTAGGACTTGATATAGACGGTACTGAAATATTTCTGACAACAGCAATTTCACAAGTAGCGTTACTCATCCCATCCCAACTCAGATTTCTCACCTTTGTGGTCCACAATTTGACTGTCCAGTCAAATGATGATGTGACAAAGAGATGAGAAAAGTCAATTGGACCCACTGCCATGTGACAATTGATTCCTGTGACAGGTCCTTGATGGCCTTCAAAAATTTCACCAATGCCAGCTTTACTGCAGGAAGAAGAGACATTTACATGTGGAGAGTCATTTACCACCTGGTGATTTAACATTATTTTTCTTTACTCTTGGGTTCCTGTTTCCTTTTAAAGTACTATTTAACCTGTAAATCTCTCTCCTTTCACTAAGGCTTTTGCCTGCAGAGGGAAAAATTAATGTTCAGAATCCAGCACAGGGAGACTTTCTCATACCTGAAGACTTGCCTTACTCACTTCTGCATATACTGTCTACTACTGTAGCTTGAAGTAACATTTATGTATAATTATAAAATAATTCCAAATTGTAATTATACTATAGCTTATGTCTCTGAGTAAGCCATTATCACAAGGAATAACCATTAAAATAAAAATGCGAATATGTTAATGACTTATCATGAGCAATTCTTTTTGTCTTAAATATCTAAAATAACTTTTCACAGCAGTCAATCAAGTCGCTAGGAAGCAAATGTTTTTTCACAGTAATTGAAGGAACAGGTCCTGTGATCAGGTATCATACAGTTATTACTTTTAACAAGGGGAGAAATGCATTTCATCAGCCTGAGGCTAGAGTACCTATTAGGAAGGAAAAATACAACACTGTGTAAGACAGAATGTGCACAGTTTTTTTCTTCCTGGAAGCAAATGATGCCAGCTCGGTTATCAGTGCTGTCTCACAGTGTACACAGAAAAGGGAATCATAAAATTACCCTTTTAGTTAGATTATAGAAAAACTGCGAGTAAAAGAAAATACATTAAAAATAGCCACAGCCCTGATGAGGCTGTCAGCCCTGTGCCAGTGTGAGTACAGTGTACTGAGAGCTGCACTGGAGGAAAAATGGGGATGGTAGCAAAAAGCTCAAGGAAAGACAGGCAGGAGCAGAAAAACTTTTGTCAATGGTCAGCAGAATGTTTGCTAAAAGGGTATACTAACATGAGGATCTGTCACCTTCTCCCTCTTGTGAGGAACAAACCAGGAATGTCTGAAAAATCAGAAGTGAGAAATACCCTTGGGAATGCTTCATTCGTCTTAGCAGCCTAAGATTAATTCAAACCATCAGCAGCCGCACAGCCTATCAGTATATACCTAAATAGACACAATTTTGCAATACTGTCATTGGTCAGGCTAAAATAGAAATATTTGAAAATAAAAAAATATTGAACAAAATAACTCAAAACAGTATTTAGAAAACATTAGGGGTGTCTAATATAAGCCTTACAATCTTTAACCAGTGTATCAATGTCTCTTTGGTCAACAGAAACTCCGAATATGATAAAATCTGAATTCAGCAAATATTGCAAACTACTGAAGTGTGGGCGTGAGCTCTAAGTCTATCAGTGGAAAAAGTTTGTTCTTTACAAAAGCATCCCAGAGAATGGAACTACTACTGGAAGCTATCAGAGCACATTAGTATCCCATAAATTTGCAGGGTGCAAAACAAGGAACTTGCAGTATTAAACAACAGTCTGGGTTATGTATGGAAAGGATATGACCCCCATGTGTGAGAGAGCACAGGATTCTGGGAATGAATTAAGCAGAGCTCTCAAACCCATGTGGCACGGCTACATCTGTGCTAGCAAAGAGACCAGGCAGCAGGCCAGACTGAGGGACAACGGTGTGGGTGGCTGCTGGCTGAACAACAAAACGCTGTCGCCCTCCTGGAGAGGGTGGGCATGTCCAAACTGCCCCCTGAGAGTGGGGGCCAGCAGGGCTCAGTCTCTACCCTCACTGCATAGATGCAGCCTGAACTGCTGCATAGGAATACCCGGAACCAGATGGCCACGCATGGGAAACTGCGTTCTCTGTTTCTCATGTGCACGTGTGCTCACGGTGGCTTTTCTCTGAATCATGCTTGTGGAGTCTGAAGATGGAGCTGAGAATGGCAAAAAATAAAGCAGATTACCATCTCTTATGAGTGGTTGAGGCCTGATTACCCTGCAACAAAACTGTCTCCTAGGGCCTCATTTGACCTGCCCAGACAATAGATACCTACATCTCAGCTAGCTGTATAAGCCTCCACCTCATCTCGTGGATGAGAAAGAGGCATTTCTGAGGTTCCAGTCATCTTCTCTTCAGGCAGATGTCTGAAAAAGGTAAAGGAAGTCAACCTAAGAGTAGTCATTGCTCCCCACCAACCTCACAGGGAGCCTGGGGCAACTACCCCAGTATAACAGGCTGTAGCACAGATGCTCAGAGTCAGGCAGCTCCTGTCCCCACTCTCCACACACACTTGGCTACCTCTCGCCAACACAGGTATGCAATGTTATGTCAGTACAAAATGCTGAACCTCACCTTCCATGACGACAAGCTGTGTAGACTGTTCCCTCTTCACTGCCAACGACAAAATTATTGACATCTCCAGTTGGAAAAGCCATTCCTGTAACCGCCACTGGTTTGGACTTATTGTACACAAGCTCCATGCTCTCCTACCAAGACAGATTTTTTGTTATTATTCCGTTTGTTATTTGTTAGTCTGGCTTTGTTTTGGTTTTTTTTCCCTAATTAATTTATAAATGTTGCACAGTGTAGCAGGAGAGGAAGATGAAATCATTTGACCCAGTCACAGGATTTTGGTTTCTACTTGGGATATTGCGAGAAGATGCAATGTCACTAGGATGCTCTTGCCAACCCCAACACTATCTGTCATACCTTTGAGACTGGCAGGAAGGCACTGGTCTTTCCTGCATCATTTTAAATCAGGCAGCTATGACAGGTGAGAATTTAAAATCTGATGGTGCAGAAACTGAAGGTAATACCTTAATGGTTACACTTGCCAGCTCCAGGCTCTAATAAATCATGCAATACCCTTCTATTTACAAACATTTTGGAAATCAATTGTTAGGAAGCACATGTAATATTGTGTGCATCTGAGGCATTTATTGCACTGTGTCATTTGTCCCTTTGCAGGACAAAATTAAAAAGTTGGGGTTCTGTCACTACCACCATTCTAAGTGTTACTTTTCAGGAATTTTCTGAGGTAACCAGAAACACTCCCTCTAGACTCCACCATCAAGCTACAAACCAGCAGAAATGTTTTCTTTTTTCATTTGGTAGCTATATTTCAAAGTGAATCAGCATGCCCATTTTTACTATTGCAAATACAATCACCATGAACAGTTTGTGGCCATTGCAAGATGCGAACACTTTGAGCAGACTTTGCACAACTTTTTGGTTTTTCAGCCTAAATCATGTAACCCAAGAATCCACAAAAGGGCTGAATGATTTCACCATTTTCATTTTTAGCTATTTAAGTGGGTTTGTTTTCTATGTTTAAAGTGTCTAAGCTGCTATTCTTCTATGGCCAAAGCCTGTAGGGTTTTTCTCAGAAGGGTGTTTTGCTGTAACTAAAGAAAGTGAGTGTCCCTGCGAGAGGAGAGCGATGCAAATCCATAGAGAAATAGTTTTGCTTGGTTTATACTTTTTTTTGAAATACATTTGATTCTATTATAAAGGAAAACATGGAAAATGTATGGGGAGAACACTCCATATTTCTATGAATATGTGAGTGAGAGAGAGAGAGAAAGAGAGAGAGAAAATTCAGTGAATATGGGAGACAGACCATATATTTTTGTGAAAACCTTCTAGGATGAGATCATCATTTAGTGTTGCTGTGGAGACACGGCCATAGGCTGTGGTGGACTCTCTCCTCCCAGCACCCACACCAGTGCTCTGGATCTGTGTCTTTGGAAAATTTCAGACTGACACACATCAGCAACACTTTACTCCTCCCAATTTAAAACTGTGGCATGTAGCTTGACATCAAGCCCTGTGCCTTTTTTTTCTAGATCACCGTGAGCCATATGCCAAACTTCAGTGTAATACGGGGTGTGTTCCCATCCTTGTTGAGAGGCAGTTTTGGAGCAGGGAAATTCCATCTGAGTGATGAGGTACCGGAACTCAGATGTTCAAAGATCTGTGCTTCAGAATTTAGAATTCCAGTAAATGAATACATAAGGGTGGAATTTATCTACTTGATGTTTATATGAGAAATAAGGGAAGGGGTTTGGATGCCTGAGCATAGATGTCTGGGCCATTTTAGGTGCCTCCACTTCTATTGCAGAAGAGTATTGGTATTTTGTAGTCCCAGGGCACAACTACCAGACCCATACTGCTGCCTTGGGCAACATGAGCAACATGGTTGACCTTTGGAAGCTGGTCTCACTTTGAGTAGGGGAGTAGATGGGATAACTTCCAGAAGCCCCTTCCACCTTAAGATTGGATGGTTCTGTATCCCAGGGTGGGTATCTGAAATGGCATTTCACACTTGGAGGGGTTAGTCATCCTCCAGAAGTACCAGCCTCTCTCTCTATTAAATGTAAAGGAAACTTGGAGTTGACATGGACTTAACTTTTAGATGGCTGAGGTTAGGATAGAGAAGTCCCACCTCTTGTGTCAACACTGAAAAGCTAATAATTTGATAGTAATTGCACAATAATGCATGATTAATGGATGGGTAACGGAAGCAGTAAGGGGAGTTTCTATGCAGCATTTTGAAACATGATCAGATCCCATGATGCTTAGTAAAAATTATATTAATTTTCTTTCCTAAGAAATTATGTATAAAAAATGAATGATGTGATAGAATAGAAAATGTACTACTCCAGGAGATAACACTTAAAACACGCTTTCTGTACACCTTTTTCAGCATCGGATTCTTTGTTTAGTTTCCATTATTATAATCACTAGTGGTTTGGGCAATTTTCCTATGTTTCCTTTTATTTCAGGTACAAAGGAGAGGAGGGGAGGAAAAGGTGACGGTAGCAAACATTCCAGAGAGAAGAGATTAGTTCTAAAACTTTTGAATTGCATTGTTTGTTCCTTTGGCTACCGAAGGCAGGCAGCAAAGTAAGCTTTCTGACTGTGGGCCTTGGAAACCTGTAGTGCCTAGGGTGTGTTCAGCAGCAGTGCAATCTAGTCCATATTTGTTAAACAATGCTGCAGAATAAGTGCAATTTATACCACAGGCGACTTCTGTAATTATCATGCTTTAAAATGGACTATTTCATTTTCACTTGAAACTGACCTATGTATTAATGTATTACAGTAATTACATGATTTGTGGTAAAGGAAATGGGTTTGGCTCTTAGCAGAGACTGCTGGAAGCAAGCTGTACTCTTTCAAGTGCATCCATTGGTTTTAGTTTGTATAGGATGTGAGGTTTTGGCTTTTAGGAGCTGTGTTCCACTACACAGGTATCCTGCTCTACTGAAGGCACTTTTTTCCCCTGTAGAGATAGATGAAAACAAACCCACCTGTGGAGTTGAGAGCATGTCCAGGCTCCAGGAGCACATTTTGCCATCCGTAGAGACGGTAATGAGATTGTGCGCATTCTGTGTCCCAACTACATTCACACAATACACAGGATGCTGAAAACACATTGACACTGGAAATCAGAGAGCCATCTCACATTTTCACAGACAAATTTCTAATGTCTCATATGTTATTTTAAAGAACGATTAAGTAGTCACACAATGCCTGGAAAATACAACTCAGCTTTTGCCAGAAAGGAATTGTTTTGCTTAGGTTTTTTTAATTTAAATTTTAAGAAGTATGTTATGGAGGTGGAAATGTTTTCTAAGTTTCATTTTCCTCGTAATAAAACAACCCAGCTGAGTAATGTTGAATTATGTGGATGAGATTTCACCCACAGGGACTTTATCATTCTGCTGATGGCTTTTGACACTGAAAATAACCAGCAGAAAGAGGCAAATTGTCCAAATGGAATCAAAATGAAATCTCTATTCAAGAAAACAGCTGCATAAAACTTGAACTCTGTCAGAATTTGGCTTGCATGATAAATATTTGCAAATGCACTCTGGTTGAAGAACATGAACCAGCCCATCAGCGTTTTTCAGCATTGGCCAATACACCTTTTTGATTCTGTTATTATAAATGGGGAGTGACTAAATTTAGGGTGTTACACCTGGCTCGACATAACACAGTCGTTCCATGGAGGCTGAATTCCACGTAGTATGCATAATGAAACTTGGCCTATTCCTTTTCCAAGGAACCTGGTAACATTTTGAGCCTAGTGTCATCTGATATCTGATGGTAACATATGAGGGATGGGTCAAGTTCAGCAAACTCCAGAGTGAAAAATCAGTCAGTCTGAACAACAAGATTTAATTTCCTTTGACCTGTACAAGTGATACTGCTGAATTAAGGGTTAAACATATACAGAAGTCAAGCAAAGGAAAATTTAATTTCTCTGATGTTTTTGCCAATAAATAGAAGACCTGTGTTTCCAGAAAGAAAAAACACTTTTCTCTAATACTTTCCTTATTTAAAGAAAATTAGGACCAACTTACAAGAGATCCCTATGGAGCTTCTAAGCCAACTCCATGCAGAGTTGGAAATGTAGCATTTGCTCCTGCTGAAAGGAATGGCAGAACTACCACTTACGTCAGACTACTTCAAGATCCAGCTGCAGGTCACTTACCCAGTCAGTGGGAAAAGGCATAAATCTTATTTCAGGTTTGATACCTGAGTGCTCAATAAATGTCCCCTCTCTAAGTGCAAAAAGTGCAAAAATGTGTGAACATTGTTTGTGCACACACTGAGAGGGACCAAGCAATTACTGCTGCAATGGTACCTTATGCTTGGAGTTCACCTGTACACACCAGTAAGTCACAAGGTCCATTCTGATGCTGATTTTATTCTTTCTCTCAAGATTGTCAGGCACCTGGTTTCTCCTAGATCATCAAATGGACCCCAACTGGTCCCTCACACGTGCTTCACACTATTACTCTCATATGATGGACCTTTTTGCTGCTTAGTGTTAAGGTAATGACTCCAGTGCTAAACATGATTGCCACATACTGATGTGTGAAATAAGCATAGGCCTATTTTTTTCATGGGTATTTGAACTCCAGTAGTCCAAACAGACAGTGACAGAGTGGGTGGGAGGAAGACAAAGCAAGCAGTGGACTATCTAGGATATTTAGCAGGGAGGAAGACAGTAAGCTATGTCTTTCCAGCAGCACCTCAGTGTGTCAGGTCTGGCTTTAATCAGGGCTACCAGCCATCAATTTCATGCACAATAAAACTCATGGCAGAAATGAAAAGATGTAAGGAAAGCAGATGAATAAGACAATCAACTGTATGCAACAGAAAGTCTAAACAGGCTCCTTCCTTTCAAAGGGTCGCTGCCAGCTTGCTTTTATTTATTTTGGAAATGAAATCATCATGCAAAAGGGTTTTGTCTTAATTAAAATTTCCTGTTGTTCCAAGTACAGATGTGTGGTGGGTGTGAAAGGAAATTAGTGAGTAAGCTGCGGGTAGAATCCTCTTTCCTGGTGAATCCAGGCAGTAATCAGTGATACTAAATTTCAGGAAGGTTTAAGTCAGTGAAAACAACACGATTGTTTCCAATAAACAAAGCAAGAGAAAGAAAAGAGAAAAATCCTTTTTTCTCCTATGGCATGAGTTCAAGTTAAAAATGACTATTCAACTCACATATAGCAGTACATAAATTAAGATCATTATGGTAGAGTTGTCTTAATTTAATTCTTTTTTTTTTCTTGGCAGCTAGGATTCAAGCCAGCCTTTTGCAACCAAGACCTCATTTGCAGTTTATGTAAGTAATTCCTATCTATATACATAAAGTAAGCACTCTTTTATTGTAAAATCTGATCACTGCTGAAAAACATCACGCTTCCTCATGTTAAGACTGTTTAAACACTTATTTATACCAATCCATGACAGCACATAAAGTGCCCATCCATAACTGAAAGTAATTTATTTATATTTGTCAAAAGCAAAACAGCATATATTGTCCTATTGCAATAATAAAACTACTTTAATATATAATTCCAGGAGGTACAATTTTGCCTTAAGTGATTTTTGAGTGTAAACAAATTACTTCCCATTAATCTTTTCTTTTCCGCTAGATTTCGAGTCCCAGTTGTTCAATTTTCAGTGATAGTCAGCTTCTTGCTACTGGTTTTCTGGTCTGCTACATCTTTAAATTGCACTTCCAGGAGAGACTGTTTCTTTTCATGCAGATTGAACAACATTACTGGCGACAAAATGAGCAAAACATTAGGGAAATGAAAAGCAATGTTGAAGTTGCAACCCATGGCACAGATCATTAGATAATTACATCAACATTCATGATAGTGGAAATTTAGGGAACAATATTTGTAATACCTGGCCCACTAAGTGTGTCTGTGCACACCTGTCATTTTGTAATATAAGAGACTGGCCATCATAATACTGGCCCCACACTGAATCTTTTGCATCAATTTACGTGGCATGGCTTCTAGAGCTGTCTTTTAACTCCAGGGATTATGTTGTCACAGTCAACAAAAAGCTGAACTTTGATCTGCAAATTCCAAAGAATCACAGAATTGTGAAAGCTGGAGGTGCAAAAGTACCATCATGTTGCCGATCCTTCATTCTGCCAGAACAAGATTATTATCTCTTAGAGTGCTTTATGTAGTTCAGTTCCTTATGGTTCTGAAAATCTGCATTTTTCTGCACTCTTATATGATACTTCGAATTTTTCTCCTCCTTTCCACTTTCCAGTAAGAAATTGCCCTAAGCCCACTTCCAAGATGAGCTACTCCACTTTCCAGCTGTTCTGAAGAGTCTGCCTAAGCCTAAACTCTGGAGGACAACTCAAGAATGCACAACATCTTTGTGCAGAATTGACTGAAGGTCAGTGCAGTAGGAGAGTGAGGACACTTTGGCAGGCAATCCAGGCTCATCTCTTCCTCCAGCACAATAGTCTCCTACCACAGACATCATCCTTGTATCACAGAGAAACTCTTCCTTTTCAGGCATTTTTTGTTACTGCTCTGCCTGTATATCTCCCAGATATCATTAGAGCCCATTTCCACCATCACTATCCGCAGGTACCAGTGTGTGTCAGCAAAATGCTCTCCCACATCATTCTATGGAAACAAACTCCCCCCCAGTGCACAAGCTCTGCCCTATGGCCCTGTCTGGAGTAGGAGACCATGGCAAGCATTTATGTATTCCTCTATTAGAAAACAGAAGCAAACTGCCACGCTCTTTTGAAGGGTACAGTGTGACCTACAGGACTCCACTGAGATCATCATAGGTGCCTAATCTGGTTCAAAGGAGAAACTTGTGTACACCAAGACAACAACAAATGATTCAAATTGCCTGCCATGCTGGACTGACAGACACGCAGTCTCTATAATGACCTGTCTTTACAGGCAACAGAGAGCAAGAGTTACAGTGCCACTGAGCTGGCACAAAGGTGCCTCACTCAAGTGTTGTACTCAATCCTGCTTTTTCCCTGGAAAGGAGAGTAATCTCCTGACTTGACTGTACAAAGTGTGATGGTTAAGTACTTACAGGAGGTGGTTGTACATCTCTCTTACCTATTTCTTTCCTTTCAAGGGCCACACTTAGGTTTTCATCTGTGTGGCAACCAGCACTGTAGACACAACTATACAGTTCTATTTCCTTGCTGACCATTTCCTCTAAGGAAAGGAGGAGGTGCTTTTTGTCCTTACCGTGTGAGCAGCAGCAGATAAGGGAGTTCTCTGAACTGGAGTGCGCCTGTGACTGCGATTATCCCACAAGACAATTTGGCCAGAATATGTTCCACCGACGACAAGGTTTGGGTGAAAGCGGGCAAAACAGACTGACATCACAGAGGACTGGAGTAAAAGAGGTAGAGAAGAGAGGGGTTACATGATCAGTTATCTTCAATACTCTCCTTAGGGAATCATATGGTAATTAGCATTTTGTGTTTTAGGAATCACTGTATGAACTCTATTCATACTCCTTGCACACCAGTAATTCTACTAAAGCCAACAGGACACATGCAAAGAGCTGACTTTGACCCTAAAACGTGTTATTCCACTGGTCCTCAGGAAAATATACACCAAAGGGTGAGTCTAAGCATGGTGCTAAAAACCTTGAGATAATCTCTCCGTGACAGTGATGGGAAAGTGCTTAATTTCGTACAGAAGTGAGAACTTCAAGTAACCAGATACCCGCTGGACAGAGGTTGACATCCTTGCCCATGATATCCCATCAGGGAGAGCTCTTCCCCTATTGCTCCTCTAACTTTGAGCTCTCAGGTAATGAGATGAGGCTGTGAGAGACCTACCACAGTGCACCTCAAGGTGTGCTGTCCTGAGAGCATCAGCTGACAAGCTGCATCTCATTGTTGGATCCACGACTGATTTCTCTGCTACCGAGGTGCTCTTTTAATAGCAAAGGGAACCACACTTTCCTCTATACCATCCAAACAGAACTCAGTTTTTCCTCATTTTAATGACATCTGAGTTGTCTTTGTATATTTTCTTTAGCTGGGGATGCTGAGGAACCAGACTGGTATCATGGTTGCCCTGGCTACCTGATAGAGTGCCCCACAAGCCAGTATGAAGATTGGTATCTATCCCAACTACTGCTTTTCAGTGTCTTTAAAATAACATACAATAGCTGAAGTCTTCAAGTGAACAATCCTCAGAACCTTCATGTGCCAACAAGCTACAGCTGAGAGCAACAAGCTGTAACTCCTTCAAGTCTTCCATTATCTTCCTAAGGAATTATTTCCCATTTTTATATAATTGGTACTGTATACTATGTCTTTGTTCTATGCAAATTGGAAAGCAAATGTTACAGCATTCATACAATTTCCTGAGAATTCACATACTAATAAAGAGAGTTTGCAAACAAAAGCAAATGTCATTTTTTAAATAGCAGTTTTAGTGATGTTTGCTAGCTGCAGAGGAAGGCTTGAACTGCTGTGGCAATTACAGTCAGAAAGTTAAATTCACTGTTAATTTTTGCATTCTTAAAAATTCATTTTCTGACTGTTTCCAATGAGTTTTGCTAACACATTTTTTTAATATTTTAATGACTGAATATTTTGAAGTGTTGGTGTTCCTGTGTGGGAACACACTTTACTGAATGACAACGGGTTAACTAAATTACCAAATTTCAGTTGCATAAAAAGCATGGCAGACATTTAAGTAAACTTTGTTGAATTGGGAACATCAGAGTTGCCAAACTGAACTAGACCCAATGTCTAACTAGGTAATGGACCTGTTTCTTGTAGAAGTGGATGGAGTTGTGAAAACCTTGACATGGGCAGATGTGTTGTCTCCTTTCCTTACTGCTCCTCATTCTGATTTCTAGTGGCTAGAGACTGATTTGAACTTACCAGAGACTTGAAATCCCTTCTGATAGGGCTAGAATTAACTATGCTAATTCCTGATGTCTATAACTAGATTAATAAGAATAAAGCAAAATATGAAGTTTGAATACTTTTTACTGGCTGCCTGATATCTATTGTTTAAAGCCAGATTAAATGTTAAATTAACGTAATAGACATATTTATAGCACACAGCAGTATATTTAGTACTGTTTTTTTGACCTAGTAAGATCATCAAGACAAAGAAAAAAGCTGTAATTGCCTTTTTGATTCCCCAGTCTCTCTAGATTCTTGTGGCCCTTCACTTGACATCTATGATACCCTCGCTTGTTGACTAAAGCTTTTTCATATATTTCTCTGATGTTAGTCTAGCATCTAATGATTAGATGATTAGTGTACAAAAATGCCTACTTTAGTCCCTATCTATCTAAGCACTTGAGCATAGTAATTACACTATGGTCAGTCGCAGCAACAAGAGGTAGCTTCCAAACACCATTTCCAAAAGACCTAGCTTTACAGAAAAGAAAACCCACCTGTAAGGAACAAGATGTGGGTACTGCTAAGAGCAGTTTAAAACTCAGCTACACTGCAGCTGCCATCCAGTTCCACAGATGCCCCCCACATTATAATTAAAACGGCCTTACAGCACATGTTCTACATTTTATCTCTTTGTTTAATGGCTTCGTGAGTTGTTTTAATCAACCCCTATCATTCCTTATAGCTAAGCTGACAGATATTCTTACATGAAGTGAAATAGCCAGATGATTTTAAAATAGTACAGCTCCACCACTGTGTACACCCCACAGCAGCTACAAGGCTCCACATGTATTTTAAGAAACCCCAATTCAAACAGTCATTCCACAACAAAGTTCTCAGTTTGTCCCAAACAAACCTGGGAGACTCTGAAGCAGGGCAAAGAAGCCAAGTGGACAGTGTATTTTTAAACATTCTGTTTTCATGGTTAACATGTTTTTGAATCAGAATACCAGAATACAGTTGAATGGTCAGGATATAAACTGCTAAAGGCTGTTTTTCATAAAGTTCAAAAATAACCTACAGACATGACACGGAGTTAAGCCCTCTACACTGCTTCTAGTTTTACATATTGCTCCAAAGTAGCTTGCAGTCTTCAAATGTGAAATGTTCACATCCTTTTAATTATTTCAGTATTATTTTTCTATAAAAGAAAAACTTCTGTCAAATATTAGAATTTAACAATTTAAGGAGTCCACTCCATACCCCTTAGTATAGTGATTATTTTCTTAAAATTAATGGCAGTTCTCAGATGAGTAAGGGCTGTAAGATCAAGCCCATTCATTTAACAGCTTTAAAAGCATTCATTTCTTAGCCATAATGGGAGAGAGCAGCAGACAGGTCTCCAGTCTGTCTGAACAGCTCTGTGCTCAAGGAGAGCTGCAGAAACCATTCCCCATAAGCTTCTTCTGCCTCCAGGCTGCCTCTTGTTTGCCCATTCAAGTAGTCTTGCTCCTCTAAAAGAGAGTTTTGCTACTGACTTCAAAGGGGGAGGATCCAGCACATGGTGAGGTTTTTAAAATAACAGCATATCCCCTGTTGCACTTCTGCCACACCTTTCTAGGGAAATCTCACAGTGCTTTCCAATAACAATGGTAAAGCTTCACAGTTTTTCAGTTAGGGATATTTTATGCACTGTTGGTGCTTAGTTACCTTTTGTAGATGGCAGAAGCAGCTAGTTCCATAGTATATGGCAACAGCACATAAATAAGAAGGCAATTCCATGGGATTTTAGTGTCCACAGTATAAAAGCAGCATTTGGAATAGGAGATTCCCAGCATTATCTTTTTATGGGTGCCACAGAGCATCTATATCTTTCAGCTGGTGGGACCCAGAAGAAATGGACACACCCCAGTGTCTGGTCATCTGCATTTCTCTGAATTGCGCTGTGCAGTGAATAATTTCATTATTTACTTTAGCTTAATGCTCAGGTATTTTCTCCCTCTATGCAAATACAGCCTACTGGATTTTGCTTTCTCTGTCTTTTTTTAGCTTTCTCAGTGGCCTTACTAAAGGCTTCTTCTGGTACTTCTGGCTTTGCAATCTTCCACCCAGATGTTCTACTCCTAGTGGAGCCACCACACTAGTGCTGCTGCCTCATCCCCTGTGCATGCTCTGCCTCTCTGGGGAGACAAGCAGTTCTTCAAGGGCCAGGGGAGCCAGCCTGAGTTAGTTCCAGGTGGGAGCACTGCCCAGGGCATAAGGGAAGAGCTCAAACTGATAAACCTGGGGTTTTTGCCTGGAAAACAGGCAATCCTGCTTCCTGAATGATAAAATTTCTGCTCCCAGTTGCTACAAGAACCTCACTGAACACATAATTAAGATACAAAACATGAAATGTCTGTGTTCTTTGTCACAGCAAAGAGAGGGCTGGCATCAGAAACAGAAATGTTGCCTAGCCCTTGGAGAGGTCTGCAGTCGGGGGCACGAAGGAAGTACCCCTGGTCCCCTGCCTTGTTGGGGTCGGGTTGTCTCAGCCTGTGAGGAGCAGCACTGTGGAACCGCCTCTGCTTCCCCCCTCCTTCCCTCCTCCCTCCCCACTGATGCACTGATCCAAACAGGCCCTGAGCCCTCTTCAAGTGGCTGGCAAAGCTGGTTTTTATTTTAGAAGCTTAATACGGCCCAGATTTGGATTAATAGTGGCGTATCCCTTCAACCACAGGTACACGTGCTCGGAACAGACAGTCATTTAGCTTCTCTTTACTGAGAAGCCTAACCTCAGTACCCACATCTGATGTGTGTAGGGCCCTGGAGACTCAGCTGTCTCTGCTCATGTCCATACGTTAGGATGGCACTCTGCCCAGCCACCAGTCGAACAAGTTCACAAAGACCTGGGTGCTAAACAATAATGACTCTCAACAGGCTTCTGCCTTCAGCCAGAACTCTTCTGCAGGAAACCACTCCCAGAGCCAGAGCTGCCATACTGGTGCCATATGCCTACGCTTGACACCAGATGGATCTCAAAACAATACTTTGTCAGTGGGAAGAAGCAATCTGAGGAGTTCACAGGCATTTCTAGGCTCCAGAACACCAGGTTATATTGCAGCAGGCACTCAGGAGACTCCTGGGTGTATTTTCTGGCTGAGCAAATGCATGTGAAAAAGCACTGCTGTCAGTGATATGCTGCTCTGGGTCAGTCTGACACAAACAACAGTGGACAATAAAATCAACTGCAGGTGAGATGAAGGGACAGATCCTTTTCCATGCTTGAGGGAATTGGCTTAGAGGGACTGAGAGCAGAGGGACAAAGCTGTGGTACTGCTGCTTAGCTATAACCATGAAAAGGTGCCAAACTCATAGTCCTTCATCCATAGGAACTGAAGAACAGTGACTGGACCTCTGATGCCTGCTCTTCTAAGGAATAAATAAATAAAGGCCAAAAGTACACATGCAATTTACTTATAAACTTTTGTTTTCACTCCTGCTCATCAAAAGCAGTATATTAAGAGTCTAAGCACTAAT